CCCTTCTCCCCCATTCCTTCTGTTTTGCTAAAATCCATTAGATTACATTCCTGAAGCTGGCCACCAAGGTCAGTTCCCTTATTTGGCCACTTCCTCCTCCTGAGGCTGACTACCAAGATCCAGCTATCAAAGCATTAAAGCCCAAAAATCAAAAGCTGCCTTTGGCTCACCTAATTGACATGCCCAATCAGAATTAAATACCTCTTCCTAATACGGGTTTCCCCTTTATAAACTGTCTTTGCCTATGGTGCATATCTGTCTCCTCTCTATACAGAGGCAGTCCTTTGTCCCCAGGACAAATAACTCTGGCCCCTCTACCTTGTTCCCTTCCCCCCTCTCCCTGGACCTCCATCTCCTGTTCTTGTCTCTTATTCTCCACTTTGGGAATTTTGCCTCTCTAGGGCAAATCAGTCTCCTTTGTGCTGAGAAGTTGGTCTTGGGGGTCCTGAGTGGACGCTTATCCTTTCACTCATAAACCAGGCTGTTCTTGAACCTTTGATTGTCCTGCCTCTGTCTCTGGAGTGCTGGGATTGCTTACAGGTGTCTGCCGCTGAGCTGAACCACTCGGCTTCAGTTTCTTGCCTGTGTTTGTAGCTCCCCTTGGCCCATGATTCCTAAGACAGCAGAGATCCAGCCTCTTTGTTCGCTGATGTGTTCCAAATGCCTGTCATAATGCTTAATAGATGTTTGTTGAGGGATGGATAATGATTGAAAGGTTAATTTAGAGGAATGAAATTGTAAAAGTCAGGAAGCCCATTAAAAAAAACTAAGACGGCTAAAGGTTCTGACCATAATCAAAGGCAGATCTTGCATGTTCCACCCCAGCAGCTTTGTAGAACTGTTTTTGGGTCAGCCGGGCGTAATGGCGTATACCTGGTGGTAGTTCCAATGAGAATGTCTCCCAGTGGGCTCATGTTTGAATGCTTGGTCACAAATAGTTGCTTAACTGTTTGGGATAGACTGGAAGGTGGAATAGAAGAAGGAATGTCAACTGGAGTAGGCTTTGAGGTTTCGAAAGCCCCTATCAGACCAGGCCCAGTCTCCCTCTCTCTCTGTGTGTATTTGTGTGTATCAGAATGTAAAACTCTCAAAACTCTCAGCTACTGCTCCCGCACCATATCCATTTGCTTCCTGCCATGATGATAATAGACTAAACCTCTGCAAGGCCCCAATTAAATACTTTCTTTTATAAGAGTTGTCTTGGTCATGGTATCTCTTCACAGCACTAGAACAGTAACTAAGACATACCTGTAATGCCAGCCCTAGAAAGACTGAGGCAGGAGAATTTCAAGTTTGAGGCTAGCCCACCACACACAGAGAGTTCCAGGCCAGCCTGAGCTACATAACAAGATCCCATTAAAAGAAGAAGAGGAGAAGGAGGAGGAGGAAGAAGAAGAAGACAGAGCAAGCAACTAGTTGACAGGGAGTGAAGAGAGGGAAAAAAATCAGAGAGTAAGAGGAAGTGAGGAGGGGGATACAAAATGAATAAAGTGTAATTAATAAAAGTTAAATAAAAAATAATAATAAAAAAGAGGAAGTGAGGAGGAGAGATAGAGAGACACACAGGAAGTAGAAGGGAGGAACATTCGCTTTGAGGGGTTTTGTGAGACAGCTTGGGGAAGGAGCTTTCCTTTTCCTTCTGGGAAGTCGGCTGAGGAGGAAGGTCATCTGGGTGCTTTCTCTGAGCTAGCAGGCTTTCACCCCAGCATCTGGCTCTCGAGTGTTTATTGATAAAATCGAACATTTGAGATTTTGTTAAAAACAACACAACTCCCTCTTCTGGCCTCCTAGGGCACTGGGCATGATGATGGCTACAAGGTGGCATGTCTGTGATCCCAGCTCTTGGGGAGGCAGAGGCAGGTGCATCTCTGTGAGTTCATGGCAAGCCTGGTCTACAAAGTGAGTCCAGGACAGCCAAGGCTACACAAAGAAACCCTGTCTTGAAAAACCAAAGAGCGCGCGTGTGCGTTCACGCTTGAGAGAGAGATCCCAAGGAAAAGGAGGAGAAGAAAGAGGGGTCCTTGTCCAGCAGGGTACCATTTCTTTATCAGGTCTTTCTGCTATTGTAGGAGTTGAGTTTGAAGCAATATTTTGTAACTAATGTGGTTAGAGAGGATGGTCCCTTTGATAAAAGGGCTGCTGAATCCCTATGGGGCTGATGGGTAATGGGAAGGGTGTAGGACTAGGAGGGGAAGTGAGGGCAAGGTTCAGACAGCAGTCAGGGATAAGAAGCACTAGTCTTCAGGGAGGGAGGCTGCTTGAGGGAGACAAAGAGCCTGCGTGTGTCCTGTACACCGGCAGCCCAAGTGAGGGCTGTGATGTAAGATGACTCTTCAGTGGCTGAGTTTCTCCACCCTCTGAGAGTTGGTACTTTCTGATTTTAGTCATATCTCTTTGCATCTCCCTGAGAACCGTGTGAAATCCATGGCTACCTGACTTGTCTTCTTGTCTATTTGTCTCCCCTCTAGATCCCAAATTCCAAGAGAGCAGAGCTGGAGTTTCTCTGCTTCCCTGCTCTAGCCCTAGTCTAGTGCAGTACCTGGCACATAGAAAAGGCACTCGGAGCTGGGGAGATGGCTCAGAGGGTGAGTCCTTGCTGTTGAAGCATGAGGACCCGAGTTTGGATCGCCAGTGTCCGTGGAAAAAGCTGGCCATGGCTTCAAGAGCCTGCAACCCTGGTGCTGGGGGATGGGGCTCAGGGAGAGGAGAAACCTGGGGGCTTGCTGGTCAGCCAGCCAAATTGAAAGATGGCGAGCTTCACGTTCATCGAGAGACCTCGTGTCAAAGAAGTAAGGGGGAAAGCAAGAGAGTCTTCCTCTAACTTCTGGCTAGAGACCTGCATGTACTGTCCTTGTACACTGGTGAACATGTAGCAAACATACACGCACAGACACACAAATTAGAATAGGTACAAAATATGTTTGTGGACTGAATGGACGAACAGAAATACAATGTTTTGAGGGGAGGGGCATTAAGGTATGTTCTCACGTAGCCCAAGCTGGCATTCAACTTGCTATGTAGTCCAGGCTGGCTTCAAATTTGCCACGGAGTCCAGGCTGACCTTGAACTCATGATCCTTCTGCCTCAGCTCCCAAGGGCTGAGATTGCAGATGTACACCGCTTCACATGGTAGAAAGACATATCCAAATGCCAGTGCCTCTAGCAATGACGGAGGGGTGCTTCGATTCTGGGTTGTCTCTCTTGTTCCAGAATGTGTGGAAACCTAACCCCAAATGCATTAGGAGCCTCTACACTAGGCAAAGACCTTGGAGATCAGCCTTGTCTTTAGCTCAGGCAAGGATGGATGGCTGTGAGGGAATGGTGTCAGAGTGCCTTAGCTTAGATAGATATATGTATGAAAGGCTGGGCCCAAGATGGGGTAAGGCAGGTGTGTGGAATGTGTGTGTGTGGCCAGGGGCGGGGAGGGGGCTAGGAAGCTGGATTCCACACAGTTTGAGAGGAGAGAATGAGCACTCAGCTTGGAAAACAGAAGATCTGAACAGAAGCTGAACATTTACAAAGCACCTAATGTTTTCTTTTTGAGGCTAAGGTCTTGCTCTGTAGCTTTGGCTGGCCTGGGGCTTGTTATAGTTTAGAAGTATTTAAAAGGCAAATTCAGGCTGGGTGTAATTTTGTTTATAATCCCAGCTCAAGAAAGGCTGAGGCAGGAAAGTTGAGGCCAGCCTGGGCAACCTCATGGATTTTAACAAAATTGAGGGTAGGGGTTGGTGGCTGGAGAGATGGCCCAGTAGTTGAGAGAGCACAGGTTGCTCTTCCAGAGGACCCGGGGTTCTTTTCCCAGCTCACAGCCATCTGCAGTTCAGTTCCAGGGAATCCGATGCCCTCTTCGGGCCTCTATGGACAACAGGCATGCAAACGGTGCACAGATGTGCAAGCAAGCAAAGCACCCATACACACCAAACGAAGCAATATGTAAGAGGCTGGGTAGATGGCTGGAGGGGTAAACTGTTCGCTGTGTGAACATCAGGGCCTGTGTTTGCATCTCCATCATCCGAAGCTGTCTCCCAGTCTAGAAGCACAGAAATGGCTGCAGCCCTCCTTAGCTCCCACCCCCCCTCCCCCCCCCCCCGCCCGCCCGCCCCCGTTCAGGACTAAGCAACCTCCCAAAGTATCCATTTTCCTGGGGAGCACGCTGTGTCCTTGGGCTGAAGAGCACAGGTAAGGGTTTGAAGACCGACATCGGTCCTTTCAGACCTCAGGATAACGGATGCTCTCTCTCTGTGTCTCTGTCGTTCTCTCTTTCTCTGTCCCTCTGTCGCCGTCTCTCACGGTGTGTTTAAGCAGGATCTTCTCGGAAGATGCTCTTTCTGGAATGTTTGAAGAACAGGTATTGGCTTTCTAAGCTTTGCAAATTGGGGTTGGAGAGAAAAACACGCGCGCGCGCGCGCGCACACACACACACACACACACACACACACACACACACACACACACACACACACGTGAACGCACTCGTCCAGGGCCGAGGGTGGGAGTGTAATGAGCGCCTGTGGATGACATGCAACACGTTGAAATTCCCATACGGGAGTTTGCATTTCTCGCTTAATCCACCTGAGAAGACACAAGCGTTGCTGCCCAGACTCTCGGGTCCCCCCCCGCCCCCCCGGTCTGAATTCAACGTTGGGTATGGCAACAGAGAAGGCCCCTGGAAACCCGGGTGGCGGGAGCGCGCGCGGGGTGGGGGTGCTGAATCTAGACAGAAGCTGGGGTCCCTCTACCCAAGTCCAGGAAAGCGGGCGGCTTTGGACAGGACCATTCTCAGAAGGTGGAAGGGAAGAGAAGCCTGTCACCGTGGATCTGCGGAATAAGCCAGTAACTCCCTCATCTCTCTCTCTCTCTCTTCTTCGCGTTTTATTATCTTTTTTGTTCCGCCACCATTGGCTGTTCTCTCGCACGACCCTGAATCCTCAGCACCATTAACTGATCCTCGGCCACCCCCAGCGCCACGCGTGGTACAGCCCAGTGGCGCCCGCTCCCGGCGTAGATTATAAAGGCTGGGCTGCGGCAGCGGACTGCCAGTCAAGATGCGCCCGAAGGAGCAGGTGCAGAGCAGTGTGGGGGACGGGACAGGATCGGGGGACCCAGCAACAGGCGCCCCCACGACCCAGCCCGCAGCCGGTCCCGCTCCGGAGTCCTCGGCGGAGCCCAAACCTGCTTTCGCGCAGGGAACCGGCTCCGGACCGAAATCAGGTTCCCGAACCAAGACAGGAAGCTCTTGTAGGTCCGTGATCGTCGGCAATTCGGACGTGCCATGGACCCGCTACGTATTCCAAGGGCCTTACGGTCCCCGGGCCAGTGGCCTGGGTACTGGAAAGGCGGAGGGGATCTGGAAGACACCAGCCGCTTACATCGGCCGGAGGCCTGGCGTGTCCGGTCCCGAGCGCGCGGCGTTTATTCGAGAGCTGCAAGAAGGTAAACTGAGTCTCGAGGATCTCACACTGGGGGGCTATTAAGGCATCTCCGGGTAGGAGGGACCCACGGGCTCATGCGCCCCGCATCCCCGCGAGAACACTGCGGTGCCTGTTTGGTTTCCCCTTTTCCCCATCTCTTCCTCCCTCTCCGGCTGCCGGATTTTTGTGGGTGCGTCAGGTCCAGGGCTCGCGCGCGCTCCCCGCCCCCCCTCTTCGCGCCTGTTGCTGCGGCAGATCTGCGCACTCTCACTGACCCCTTCTCATCTACCGCAGTGCCAGCAGAGGGGCGGGGGCTGCGGGAGGGCGCTACCCGGCGCGCTCTGAGCCTGCGCTAGCCCCCGGGGACCATCCAGCGTGGGTGGGTGGAGGGGGAGCTTTTGACCACTGCTTGGCTGCTGGGGTCTGACTCGGGTTTTCCTAAGCAGGGATGAGTGGGCGGGGCACTGAGCTTCTATCTCTCCTCTTCTGGGCGGGGGAAATTTTAGGTTCAGGGTCCCTTTTCTGGGTGCTGAAGAAATCTACTTGGGCCCTCTTGTCCCACGCAACAGGTGCAGGACGGGTGACTACGCCTGTTTTTAAGACCCAGGAGGCCCCAGTGAGCTGGCCGAGCTGCTGATTGGGTCAGGCACCATGAGCCCAGTAGTTGCCCTGACTTCATATCTCTAGGGACCTGAGACCCAGGGGTCCTGAGAGTCCAGTTCCTGAACCTGGAGGATGGTCTTTGCCCTTACAGCACCCAGGCCCCTCCCGAGAAAGCGGGAGTGCCGAGATCCGGGGCTGTGGAGAGGGTGTAAGGGCCAGATGGAGCTCAGTCTTCTGGCTTCACGACCTTTGGTGTGAGGGATGTAGCAGGCTGTGGGTGGCCACAGCTGCTTTCCCCAACCCACTCAGGCCCTTCCTCCTGCAGCGCTGTGTCCTAACCCACCTCCCACGAAGAAGATCACTGAAGATGATGTCAAGGTGATGCTGTATTTGCTGGAAGAGGTAGGTACTGCCTTCCTCATCCACACCAGCCCTCTTTTTAACTCTGCCCTACAGGAGTTAGGGGTTTCATCTGTCTGTTTTCTGCTTGCCTGGGGGACAACTTGAGGGCCCCTTTCCTGGAAGGTAGGTAGGTCTCAGAGGGCCAATCTGGGCTGATTCTGTCTTTTTCCCATGACGGGAAACTGAATCAGAACCCAGAGTTGGTGGATAGCCTCTGGTCTAGTATTTGGACAATTGGGTATTGGGGGATCTTTTTTCTTGTGGCCTAGCCCAGGGTTTTCCCTCCTGTTTGGGATGTCACAGAAAGTGGGGGAGTATGAATGGACAGCTCTCCCTTTGCAGAAAGAACGGGACCTGAGCACAGCTGCTCGGATCGGCCAGTCCCTGGTGAAACAGAATAGTGTTTTGATGGAGGAGAATAACAAGCTGGAAACCATGTTGGGCTCAGCCAGAGAGGAGGTATCTGGGCAACCTAAGGGAGAAGGGGAGGGGTCAGGGTGTTTCCTCCCTAGACCAACACTGTTCTGTGCCTTTGAGCTCACTTCTCTGTGGCTTCTCTCTCCTCCCCTAGATTTTACATCTTCGGAAACAGGTGAACCTGCGGGATGACCTCCTTCAGCTCTACTCGGACTCTGATGATGAGGACGAGGAGGAAGAGGGAGAAGAAGAGGAAGAGGGGGAAGAGGAGGAACACGGACTGCGGGATGGAGATCCGCAGCACGACCATCCCTATGGCGCCCCCAGGCGGTACGTGTTCTGCCTTTGTGCCTTCGTGCTTGCGCCGCCCCCTCTCTGGGGCCTCAGTTGCTTATTTGTAAACCCGTTGCCACTGCCACTGCTAGGGAACCCTTGGGACTGGTATTCTCCACCCCCTCCACTCTGACTTTCCTCGCCCTGTTGCAGGCCCCCTAAGGCGGCGCCGCTGCACCACTGCCCACAGCTGGAAGCCCTGCAGCGGAAGCTGAGGCTGCTCGAGGAAGAGAACGATCAGCTTCGAGAGGAGGTGAGGACAGGGAAGAGGGCGCTCCCTTTGGCAGGGGATGGTAACAGCCTTGCCCCTTCCTCATTCCCTTCCTCCAGGCCTCCCACCTTGACAACCTGGAAGACGAGGAGCAGATGCTCATTCTGGAATGTGTGGAGCAGTTTTGTAAGTGACACCGTAGTAGTTTCGGGTAAAGCATTGTCCCGAGGGATGATGGGAAGAACCCAGGGTTTGGAGTCTGGAGATCTGAGCTGAGGTTCCGGCTCTGGGTCTTGCAGCTGTGTCAGCTCAGACAAATTCCTCGGCTTCTCCGAACCTCTTTAGAATGAGGGTTGATAACCGTGGCCTGCCGATCATCTTCTCAGGGTTTACGAGGGTCAGGAGAAGCACCATTGATTGCTGAGCTTGACGGTGCACACCTGTAATCCCAGCACTCAGGAGTCAGAGAGGTTGTTAAAGTTGTTAAAGTCTGTCTATTGTTTGGGACAGTACAAGCTGGGAGGGTGGACAGGAGAGTGGGGAGGGAACCGGGAGCAGCCAGCGCCTGGACATTTAGGGCTGGGGCAGTTCACAGTCACATATTGGGTCCTGGGCTGTGCCTAGGACCAACCTGGCTCTGTCTCTCCCTAGGATCTCAAGTGTGCTTGCTGAAATGCAGACTCAAAAGGATAGCGTTTCGCTATGCTCTCTTCCCATCCCTGTCCTTCCTTCCCCCTGCATTCCACAGTCTCTACCCATGACACCTCATCATGCATAATGGGGTCTCTCTGCCTGTCCAGGCCTTTTTTTTTTTTTTTTTTCCTACAGCCCAGATGAGTTTTCTGAAAACAAATCTGACTCCATCGCTAATGTGACTAAAATCCCAAAATAGCTTCCCATTGCTCAAAGGATAACCACAGCTCCTTCCCCCACCTTTGTGATCTGGTCCCTGCTCACTGCCCCGCCCCCCTTTTCATTGCCCACACTCTCCGGCTTCCTTCTTTGTGTGGTTGGGGCTTACTTAGCCAGAGGCTCCTTCCAGAACCCTTCCCCGTCTTTGCAGCACTGGGTTAGGTCGGATGCTCCACCTGGGATGCTCCTTTCTCTACTCCTGCTACCCTCCTCCCGCCCCTGCCCTTGACACTAGCTCCATCGCATCCCATACTATTTGGGACCGTGAGTTCCTTTTCCCAGCTGCCTGTCACCACAGTGCTGGAAGCTCGGTGTGGACTGGGATCAGGTCTCACCCTCTCCAGTCCCTCCCTGTGTCAATAATCCTTTCTTGAAAAAGAATACCACATCCCCATGGGACCCCTGAGGGGTGGTGAGACAGAGGCCCAGAGCCAGGGCTGTTCTGTGCCTCTCCTGTAGCTGAAGCCAGCCAGCAGATGGCAGAGCTGTCGGAGGTACTGGTGCTGAGGCTGGAAGGCTATGAACGGCAGCAGAAGGAGATCACTCAGCTGCAGGCTGAGATTGCCAAGCTACAGCAGCGCTGTCGATCTGTAAGCTGCACTGTGGGAGCCCCCTTCCCTTTCAAGGCTCCACGGGACCCCAGCCACCTCCCCCTGCTCTGCCTTCCATAGCTCTGGGCTCTGCCAGGCCCAGAGCCCTTCCCCGGGTAGGCATCAGAGTTGGCAGAGATAACCAAAGAGCTATTCGTCCTGCCTGGTCACGGCCCTAACCAAGTCCCTCAACAGAGAGAATCCCATACAGTCCCGGGTACCAGGCTGCATGCCCCCCACTTTATGACTCCCATTCCTTGTGACTTCCTCCTGAAAGGACTGTTAAAGACAGATGTGGGAAAACTGATGTTGGGGCAGAGGGTCTCAGAATGGGAGGCCTTGGGAGCTTCACACATCATGGTTTTCTTCCAGTACGGGGCCCAGACGGAGAAACTGCAGCAGCAGCTGGCCTCAGAGAAGGGAGTCCACTCAGAGGTGAGGCTTCATGAGTCCCTGGCCCAGATCTGGGATGCAGGCCCCTGGGGCCTCCTTGGCTCTCCACAGAAGACAAGCAGTTTGCAGGCAGAGCCTTTCTGGCTACCCACCCCCGACCCTAACTGGCCCCCAGCCCAGCAAGTAGCAGCTCATCTGAGCCCTGAATGGGGTCAAGATCAGGATCTTGTCCAGGGTCACCCTGAATCTCACTGTTTGGGTCTAGAGCTGGGGTTTGCCTCTGCCTATGGCAAGAGGGGTCAGAGTGCCTGATTCCCCTGGATCCTAGCAGAGCCGACGAGGGGGTTCCTACATGTGTGAGCACCAGGAGGATGGGAAGATCCAGCACCAGCGTTGTTCTTCCATGCTTTCGGGTTCTGTCAGCCATTGTGGATACAGCGTGCCTCTGGTGAGGATGCCCACTTACTGTTTCCGTGTGGCCTGTATTTCAGCTCTGCTGTCTGGTTCTGGTTTCTGCTCTCAGATTTTGTGTTTTGTGTTAAGTGTAGGTGATTAAATATCTCCCTTTTTTGTCGTAGGACCCACTTCCGGGTTTCCCAGCGACTCTGGCTCAGGAGCTGCGAACATCTCTGAGGAAGTTCATCACTGACCCCTCGTATTTCATAGAGAGGTGTGTGACTGGGATCCTTAGGCTTGCTTGGTTCAGCCATGTTCTCTTTGGTTCACCCAGGGGCACCTACTTTGCCTAAGTGTGGCATGGTTGACCCTCATGTTCTGACATCCGTTGCTCTCCCTGGCATCTCTCCTGCCTCCCTGTCCTGCTCCACTCACACTGCCTATCCCCTCCCTCTGTGGACTCTGCATTGGATCGGTCATTTCTCTTTATTTATTTGTTTGTTTGTTTATTTATATTTTATGTGCATTGGTGTGAGGGTTTCAAATCCCTTAGAACTGGAGTTACAAACAGTTGTGAGCTGCCATGTGGGTGCTGGGAATTGAACCCAGGTTCTTTGGAAGAGCAGACAGCGCTCTTAACCACTGAGCCATCTCTCTAGCCCCAGATTGGTCATTTCTACCTGAGACTTTTTCTTTTTCTTTTCTTTTTGGTTTTTTGAGACCGGGTTTCTCTGTATAGCCCTGGCTGTCCTGGAACTCACTCTGTAGACCAGGCTGCCCTTGAACTTAAAGATCCACCTGCCTCTGCCTTCCCAGTAATGGTGCTAACATATCTGATGCCCCATGGTTTTCAATATGTTTGTGCTCCAGGAACTTTGCAGTTTGAGCCTCCTCAGTACACTGAAGGTCCTGTTCTCTGTTAAGGGCCTATGGGATGGCTGTGGGGGAGACGTCAAGCCTGGGGTAACCTGGCTCCCCATCATTTGTTTTCACATTTCAGCAGGTTGACAAACACTTGTTGGTTCTGTGACCGGAAAACTCTGGGAAGGCTGTGTTCTTGGGGGCTGTTTTGGGAATGGCTGTCCCCTTTCCCTTCAGATCTCACTTCCTAGGTGGCTCTTTGACTTAAGGCTACTTCTTGTGGAGACTTCTTTTCTTCACCTGACCACGGGCTGAGAGGTGAATGGCCCAGCCATTGGGAACACCTGGGACTCAGTCCCAGTGTGGCTTCTTTGTGTTCTTTGGGCAAGTCATATGACCTGTCTCCTGAGCCTTTCTACAATGGCTTTATTTCTATGACAGCCGGCTACAGGATGAAATACCCCTAGTTGCTTTTCTCTAGACAGGAGAGTGGGAAGTGGAGAAGAAGAAGGAGAAGGAACCTGTTTGCTATTGGATCAGCCTCCTTCTTCCTCCTAGGGGGCTGGCTTTTGAGAGCCTTAAAGATGATTCTCTCTCCCCTCACTCCTGGCTGGGACAGAGCCGGGGGAGGACCATCGGGGTCTGTAGGCTGGGGCAGGGTAAGAGAACTCAGAGAGAGCCTAGGGTTAAGGGTTGGCATGTCCTCCTCAGCAGTCCCTGGTGGGAGAGCACTGATGAGCAGAGCAAGTGCCAGGAGCTCCAGCATGGGTGGTGGGTGTGGAAAGACCTCACTGTCTCCCTACCCAGACGCAACGCTCGCTGCAGGGAGGATCGAGAGCAGGAGCAGGGGGTGATGCCGCCTCCCTCACCGCCACACGCTCTCAAGCCACCTGAAGATTTCGAGGCTCCAGAGGAGCTGGTTCCTGAGGAGGAGCTGGGGGCCATAGAAGAGGTGGGCACGGCTGAGGAAGAGCTCTCAGAAGAGGCAGAGCAGGCATCTGAGGAGACTGAGGCCTGGGAGGAGGTGGAACCAGAGGTGGACGAGGCCACAAGGATGAATGTGGTGGTCTCTGCTCTGGAAGCCAGTGGCCTGGGCCCTTCACACCTGGACATGAAGTACGTCCTCCAGCAATTGTCCAACTGGCAGGATGCCCATTCTAAGTGGCAGCAGAAGCAGAAAGTGGGCCCAAAAGGTGAGTGCTCCTGCAAAGGATACCCTCCGGCCAGTGGGATGAGCTTCCGACCATCAACCCTATGAGAGGCCAAGTGCTCACTAACGTCAACTTGGCCCCACTCAGTGTGCTGATTTGCATGGACTCTTGCCTCAGTGCTCACTTATGTGGAATGTGCTTACAAGTCCAGCTGTCCGTCCACTTTCTCACTGGGGGCTGAACTGGGAATCAGGGTTGGGACTATTCACTCCTTTGTTACCTCAGCTTCCTATCTCTGCCCACCCTCTTCCTGTCCTTCATTCCTAATGTCTCTACCCTCAAGACTCCCCAACCCCACAGAAAACAAACATGGTGGGGGCAGGATCTTGGCAAAGCAGCCCTGGACTGGTGCCAACCCAGGATGCTCAGAGGCTGGAGGAGGACAGGGCCACTCACTTGCCCAGTGCCAGGGAGGAAGACGGGCCTTCTGGGGCCACCTACGCATGGAACTAAGGCCTCTGTTGGCAAGGGCCACGGTCGGACCAGTTCCCGGGGTGAATGTAAGGGCTCTCGCAGGGTGGCAGGGTGGGTCAGGTTCTTCTCTGCCCATCTAGAAACCCCAGATTTGGGGAGTTACATGCTCTGAGGGGAGGTTTTTTAGGTCCTGCCTATGAGGACCTGTCAGTGGATTTTCCTTGTGTGAGCTCCTTTTGTCTTCATGCCTTTGTAGGCAAAGGTAGGTATGATTGTGCACCATTTAGTAAGAATCTGAAGTTCAGGGGATGGAGAAGTGGCTCAGTGGTTAAAGAACACCGGCTGTTCTTCCAGAGGTCCAGAGCTCAATTCCCAGCACCCACATGACAGCTCCCAACTGTCTAAAACTGTATGGGACCCAATTCCCTCTTCTGGTGTGCATCTATATACATGCAAACAAACCATTCATATACATTAAATAGATAAATACATATTGAAAAAAAAAAGAATCTGAAGTTCAGCTGGGCGTGGTGGCACATCCTTGTAATCCCAGCACTGGGGGAGGCAGAGCAGGTGGATCTCTTGAGTTCGAGTCCAGCCTGCTTTACAAAGCAAGTACAGGACAGTCAGGGCTACACAGAGAAACCCTGTCTCAAAAAACCGAAAAAAAAAAAAAATCTGAAGTAAGAGCAGATTGGAGCTCATGCCAATGAGTAGTGAAACCCTGGCCTGGTCCTCCTGCTGTGCACAGTTCCTTCTGCTCCTGTCCTCCTGAGCCACCTGGAGTTTGTAACTTGTTGGCAGCCTCCTTTCTTGTCTGGCCCGCTGTCATTCCGATGGCTTCTCTCTCTCTCTCTCTCTCTCTCTCTCTCTCTCTCTCTCGGCACCAGTGGATAGAGTATCGCTGGCTGCAGCACAGTAAGACTGTAAGCTGAGTCAGCCGTTCCGTGGCCTGCGTCAGTGGTGGTTTTCTGTCTCCTCCTGACACGGCTGAGGTTGTGACTGGGTCTGAGGTGATCAGGCTCCTGGTTCACATCTACCCCCTTCTCTTCCAGGCTTTGCTGTTTCCTAGCAGCCTGCAGAGGCCTCACAGACAGCTTGATAGCCCCCTCCTTCTGCTGCCTGGCCAAATCCCACCCTTCCGTCTCTTCCCCTGAAACAGGATCCCATGTCTGTCAGCAGTCCTCCTGTCCTGATAGACTGGGCTCAGGCTTCCGTCCTCTTCTAGGACATCCTGAAAGAACCCCAGTCCCTCATTCTGAAACTGCTGCCAAAACTATGGCTGCTGAAGCCCCCAGGGGTTGGAAGCAACCTGTGGGCAGATTGGCTGGCTGCCAGACCCACCCAGCTCTGAGATGGGTGTGAGTGGGCATGTCCCTAGGGTAGGCAGTTTGGGGGAGGGCCCTACTCTACCCCTTTGAGCCTCTCACTTGAAGGGACCTCCCCAGTCCTGGCTGGCTTTTGGAACCTGGCCCGTTTTGCTGTTTTTCACCCTTCCTCTGTTTCTATTACTGTGCGTAATGTGAAGTGTATGTAAGTGGGGGTGGTGGAGGGGTCTCTCTGCCCAGTGGTGTTTCTGTCTCCCGTGGCCTGTGAGTTTCCTTCTATCCTTCCCCACATCTTTGCTTATACATAGCTGTGGCCTCGGCGCCTGGCCTGCTCCTGCAGCGCTTCATCGTCCTGTGGCTTGTCGGCCTTTGTATTGGTGTATGTGCCAACGTGAGAAATAAAGAACTTGTGATCCACCTGGCCTGCCTTGGTCGAGTTTCTTCGGAATTGTGGACATGTGTGTGCCTGCGTGGACATGTGTGTGCACTTTTGGGGACAGGCATGTGGAGAGAAGATGGATTGATACTGAATGACATGCCAAGGACTTTGTATTAAATATAAGTGTCTATAGCCCTCTGCTGTGAGGCATCAGGCGATGCTCTCTGCCTCTGTCAGATAGTGAAACTGAGGCCCAGGCAGGTTCAGCAATCCTGGGCTCTAACAGCAGGTGGTAGTGCTGAGTTTGAACCCAGGTCTTTAAAACTGACCAGGCTCAGGCTGGAGAGATGGCTCAGCGGTTAAGAGCATTGTCTGCTCTTCCGGAGGTCCTGAGTTCAATTCCCAGCAAGTACATGGTGGCTCACAACCATGTGTACCTCTACTGCCCTCTTCTGGCCTGCAGGTGCATATGCAGCTAGAGCACCAATATGCATAAAATAAATAAATAAAATCTTTAAAAAAAAAAAACCCAAAACTGACCAGGCTCCCTCCTGAGCCCATCTGCCCCGAGATCTCTGTCTTTGCTCTAGTTAGATATCGTAGGAAGAGAGTTGCCATCTGGCTGGGGTCGAACCATCTAAACCTCGAACAGAAAATAAGTAGCTCATCTCAGAGACATCCCAGAAAATAGTCTTAGGGAGTGCGGAAGTAACCGGAATCTAATGTTGGAGAGGTTTAGGCAAGGAGCCTCGGTAGTCCACCAGCTGTGCACTGAGCTTTTAACTTATGAGCCTTTGTGGGGGCTTCTTCACATCCAAACCATAATAATCCACTCATGCTTCCAGAATGGCTTGTATCAGTTAGTTGATTTGTTCTGGGTATCTCTAAGAATCCCCCAAATCTTTAACAGCTGGTAATACTCCTCAAAGTCCAAGTTCATGTCAGGCCTGGTGGCATACACCTTTAATCCCAGTACTTGGAAGTCAAAGGCAGGAGGATCTCTGTGAGTTGAAGGCCAGCCTGGTTTACATAGTACCACGACAAACAGGGCTATATAGAGAGACCTATCTCAAGACAAACAAAAGCCCACGTTTAAAGTGACTTGTGAGAATCAAGGCAATTCAGTGCTACAAATCCTGTAGGAAGGAAGCTTGTCCACTTACAAATTATAATGCTACGGGATTAACACCCGGTGTTGCTTTTTTTCCCCCTTCTTTTTAAAACTATGACTGACTTGGGAATCAATATGTAGACCAGGTTGACCTCAAATCTACAAAGATTCAGTTGTCTCTGCTTCTCATGGGATAAAGGCATGTGGGTTTTTAAACAAAACTGAAGTTATTCGATTTTACCAAGAGAGACTCAGGAGCCAGATGCTGGGGTGAAAGCCTGCTAACTGAGAGAGACAGAGAAAGCACCCGGCTGACCAGAGGAAAAAGGAAAACTTCCTTACACCACCTCAAAAATCCTCAAACTGAATGTCCCTCCCTTCTACTTCCTGTGTGTCTCTCATCCATTTTTTGTCTCTTGACCTATGGTTGACTTTATGAAATCCTGTCTTGGATTAAAGGTGTGAGCTAGGGCTGAGCCACACCACAATTAGAAACAATTTTTTTTTCCAGTAAACAACACAGTCTTGGGTTTCACAGTGTGATCAAATAACTTGCAACAGGCATGCACCACCACGCCCAACTAACATTACTTTAAGATAATAGCTGGTGATGGTGTCTTAAAGAAAAAGTTTAGGGATAGTAGTACTTAGCTGTAATTTCAGCATGTGGAGGCAGAAACAGGTGAGTCAAGAGTTCAAGGCCTGTTTGGGCTCTACGGCTAGACCTTATCCCCCCCCCCCCAAAAAAAAAAAAAAAGCAACCTCAAAAAAGACAAGTAGAGGCTAGTGGGATGGCTCAGTGGGTAAGGGTGTTTGTTTGCTGTGTCAGCTTGAGGACCTGAGTTCCCAGGATCATGGAGAGTAGAGACAGGAGGCTCGCTGGGGTGTCAGTATAACGTTCTTTTGGAATGTATACACCTTACCCTTGTTCATTCAAACGCTGATTTCTCTCCCCCACTGTCTGGTTTCAATTCAGACATTGCATCGTGATACTTATTCTAAGCAACACCTGTCTCGTTTGTGTAAACATGCCCCCATTTGTTCTCTAAATTGTCAATTAAAACAACCAGCCACAATGTTGAGTAATGGAGAGGATAGGGTGGGACATCCTGGTTCAGAGTGGGAGGAGAGGAAGGAAGCAGGAGGAAAAGAAGGAGTAGGAGGGAGAAGAGGAGCGGAAGCTGGGAGAAGCTGGAGAGGAGGTCTTGGAATGACGTCGAGAAATGAACCGGACCTAAGATATCACTAAAAGCAAGTATAATGGGTGAATCTGAATGGTAAGAACTATGTGGGCTTGGAGGTTTAGGATGGAGTAACTATTGCCCAGCACTGTGTTCTAAGTTAACTAAAGAAATCCTAGTCTCGTGTGGTGATTTGTTTATACAGCTGTTTAGGATTAGCCGCAGCTGTACTAAAAGATATATACACAGTAAATATCAATGAAAAAAGACAATAACACTGGGGCCTTTTGGCTACCAGCTGAGTTCAAGGTTTAGTGAGAGGCTCTCTCTCATAGGCATAAGGCAGAAAATATCCTCTTCTGGCCTCTATACACATACCTGCATATACACATACACAGCCACCACACATACATACACACGCTTACAAAGAATAAAATAAGACAACCAGACCTCATGCATACCGTGGCATATATATACCGTGGCATATACCACTAGGGAGGTAAACGGGTGGGTCTCTGTGAGGTGGCAGTCAGCCTGATCTCAAAGAGCAAGTTCTAGGCCAGCCAGAGCAACTCCGTCTCAAAAAACCAAACCAAACCAACAGGCAGCCAGAGAATGAATGGTATACGCTGTGGTTGTCAATCCAGAACCCTAAAAGATAATTGTCACGTCCTTCCTCCACTACCCTGCATTCTCCTTTCGGCTGGTTCTCCTCGCCCTCCTGGTGGCGTGACCTAGATCCTCACTCCTCAGCAACCTGAACTTTGGTCGTGCTGCTTTTGTCAGGCCAGGTTGTTTGAATTTCCTCCTTATGGTTGCTATGAGACTAGAAGCACCAAGAGCCCCCCACCCTGACAGGTCCTTGAGTCCTCGACGTTATCCTTCTCGTCCCTGATCTGAGGCTTTCCCTTGTGGAAAGCCTCTGATGGTCCTTGGCTTTGTTCTTTGGCTTGCAGAGGGGAAGACCCAAACATAGCCAAGAAGCAGCTGGATCTTTCTATTTTGGATCCAGGGCCTCACACGGGCTTACAAAGCGATACACCGAGGAGCTACATTCTTCAGACTCCGTATGTGGTCAAGTATGACCTTTCACTTCTGATCCTCCTGTCTTCATCTTCCCAGTGCCGGGGTTATAAGCGTATACCACTATGCCCAGTTTATTGGGTGGTGGAGACTGAAGCCAGGGCTTTGTGCATGTTAGGTAAGCACTCTACCAGCTGAGGTACAGTGTCCTAAGGTTATGTGACACAAATGTCTATTCATTCCAGACAAGGAACAAAGTGACAATACCACCGAAGTCCAATTTGGTGATGACCCATGAGTTTATTGGCATTATTTACAGGAGTTTTGGTGAGGTGCTGCTTCTAGGAGCAGGATGACTCAAGGGCAACTGCTTCTCTGAAAACCCACCCAAAAACAGGGATTCACAAGAAAAAGAACCCTGAAATTCACCGAACAGCTTGGAGGCAGCTCCAGAGGTCAAAGCTGTCTTCCAGGCAATTTAGCAGGTCAGCCTCTCCCAGCCTCAGCTGGTCTGAGTCTCCTTGGAGGTCCTTACTAGTTATATAACCTTGAGAAGGAGGGGCCTTGTACATCTGATCAGTTCCGGGAACTTTCTGAGACTTCTCAGTTGTTTACTTTCTGAGTCTTTTTGTTTTTGTCGTTCACTTACTTGCTTTTCATTTTGTTTGTTTGTTTTTGAGAGAGGGTTTCTTTGTATAACCCTGCTTGTCTTAGGACTCACTCTGTAGACCGGGCTGGCCTCAAACTCACAGAGATTCTCCTGCCTCTGCCTCTCAAGTGCTGGGATTAAAGGTGTGTGCCACCATGTCCATTGACATCCTGAGTCTTCTCAGTTTCTCTCCAGGATGAAATGTGTCGACTCTGAGGAAATCAATATACTACACTATGACCTCTGTATCTGCCACCATGGTCTTGATCTATTCATGTGGCCGAGCGACAATTACTGAGCTGCTGGAAACTGTCTGGTTGACCTCCCTCAGAGCCTGTGCGCTGAAAGACGTTCAGTGCCTTCTGTGGCAGTGCTCTTGAACGGATGCTGGTGTGGGACACAGAGATCCATGTGATTTTGTTTTTCCTTTCTAAATTCATTTGCCAGTCTCCTCCCCAAGAAGTCAGTGTCTCTGATTTTTCTTTTTCTTTAAAGAAGGGAGCCTCAATAGATAGTCTATGCTGACCTTGAGCTTGTAACTTCCTTGCCTCAGCCTTCCAAGTGTTAGAATAATGAGTGAATTTCTAAAAAAAGTATTAAGTTTTGAGAGCAAGTTCCAGGACAGCCAGGGCTGTTACACAGAGAAACCCTTCTCGAAAACTGAATAAATAAATAAATACATTTAAAATTTTTACTTATTTTTATTTTCAGTGGGTATTTTGCTTGCATCATGCATGTGATGTGTGTGTGCCTGGAGTCTAAGGAGACCAGAAGAGGTCATTGGATCTCCTGGAACTAGACTTACAAACAGTTATGAGCTGACATGTGGGTGCTGGGAATGGAACCCGGGCCTTTTGCCAGAACAGCCAGTGCTCTTAACTTCAGAGCCATCACTCCAACCTACTGTTGTTTGTTTGTTTGTTTGTTTGTTTGGTTTTTGAGATAGGGCCTCGTTTTCCCAGGCTGTCATTGAACTCACTAGTTGGCGGTGATGGTTCTGCACTCCTGGTTTCTCCTGACTCCACCGTGCAGCAATTAGAATTCCTAGCTTTCCAAAGTGTCTTTACAGTCAAATGTGGTGGCTCATGCCTGTATTGGTAGAATTACAGGAGGCTGAGAGGGGAGGATCGTCTTGAGTTTGAGACCATCCTGGACTACTTAGTATGCTACAGAGTTAGACCCTGTCTCCAGACAGACAGACAGACAGACAGAGAGTTAGATGGTCTGGGGTGTAGCTTATGTGGTAAAGTGCTTGCCTACCATGCCTGAAGCCCTGGGTCATCCACCACACCAATATAGCACCTACTATATTTTTGAAGCCAGTCTAGGTTATATGAGAACGCATCCCAGCAAAAAAAGAGAACAGTTTCTGTATTTGAAAATTGTGTTTTTTATTAGGGAGTGTGTTACTACGAAGCCCAGGGTGACCTTGAGCTTCCAACCCTCTCAGCCCCCCAAGGGCTGTCATGCTGACACATGCTATCAGCGACTATAAAATTCTCATCTGAGAATCTACCTTCTTTCCTTGACTTTGCCTCTCAGCTTGCTAAGCCTCAACTATTTTCTATCTGTCCGTATAAGAAAGAGCTTGCCAGCCACGGGAGTCTGCCCTGTACTTCTCTTGAAATCTTGCAGACAGTCTGACCTCCCTGTCTACCACAGATACATTGATACTGGTTTTAAACATGTCCTGTTTGAACGCGTACTGTGGTCTGTTCTGGCTGGGTGAGAACTCTTCCTGATCCTTCTTCCCAACAGACCGGAACCCACGTTTTCATCAGGTCAGCGTGTGGCGGAGGTTGTGCTCATCTGTTCTAGTCACGTCAGCATGCCTGTCTGGATTCACAACTGTGGTTGCTGATTCAGTAGTTCCCGGGATGGCAATGGCGCGTCTCATCTATCCAGGATCCAGGCCTGGGCCTTATAATGGGGCACTTCACCTGGCTGGTGGCACTGTGGGCAATAGGGCAGCTTCAGGGGCTTGCATTTTGTTTTCCTACCAGATGTTTCTCATTCCAATGCCATGGGGAATTAAGATGGAGGTTCTGCCAGCCGTTACATTTAGCTATCCAAATTACACGCTCCTAGACTAGGGAATTACAAAGTATGCCTAAGAACCCACCTCGGCTTTGGTGAGACGCTCGTGTGGAATGCCAGTGGCTTCCCTGTGTCACCTCTCTAACGTGGGTGGAGGCACCATGGCCTTCCGGTTCTTTGGGGTGGCTCAGGTCCTGTGTTCAATAGCTTAGCTTGTGAACTCTGGGTGGGGCTCTCTCCCCAGTGTGAACTCATCCTGATCAGTGGATGTTTTGGGAATCCAGGCGGAATTGGAAGCCAAGCAGGAGATCACCGTTTTCCATTTCAGCAACTGGAGTCAGCCTTTGGCTCCTCTGCTCCTCATCTCTTTGATGTATAGAATTACTATGATAGAAGCCACCACAGGCAAGCCTACAACTGGAACCCCCTGTTTTGCCCCCATTGGTTTAGCGTTTCTGTGACAATAAAGTCTTGTCTTGTAATGCTGCTGCTTCATATAGGCTTGGGACCCTTGCCATCCCTGTGGCACCAGCCTGGCCAGGTCCGTCAGCAGTAACTCCTTCACCAACCATGGCCAGATTTCTACAAAGATTTTTAGATGTATTTTATATGTACGAGGGTTTGACATGTACTTATATAAGTGTGCCATGTGCATGCCTGGTTCCCCCAGAAGAGAGTGTCAGATTCTCTGGAACTGTGGTTACAGAAGAGAGTTGTGAGCCACGATGAGGGTACTGGGAACCATACCCAGGTTCTCTGGAAGAGCAGTGTGTACTCTTAACCGCTGATGCGTTTCTAGCACCTATTTTATGTCTTGCCAGCAAAGGTCTTATTCCATAGCTTAGGCTGGCCTTGAACTCAAGGCCCCACCCCCTTCCCCCTGGGACTTTAGTAGAGGAGACTTCCCTGGGTTCTGGCTTCAGCTGGTCATACTGCTTTAAAGCCAGGATGGCAGGCATTTTATTTGGGTGGTGGTCCTCAGGAACTACAGAAACACCAATAGGAGTGTGAGGATGTGAGATGGGGGAAAGGCAATAGAGACTGACACTCAGCAAGCTATTGCTGTGGAAACTGAAGAGCTCTGATGGAGAAGGCAGGGAGATGGCAGGGCCTGCCTCAGAGTTCTGCTGGTCAAGGGGTGGGAAGCACTGGAATTTATCTTCCAAGTCGTCTCTGTCACTGACAGAGAGATGCAACTGGAGTACTGAACTCCCCAGTTTGGTCAAAACAATGGTCTATAGACAGGATCCTCTGGAAGAGCAGTGTTTGCGCAACCTCTGGGCTGAGAGAAAGCGCTGAAGACAACCAGAACGTACCCAAATACGTGCGCCTCACCGGTGTGAGGACTATTTTAAACTGAAGGCAAGCAAGAGGATGGAGCTACGAATAAAGCTTGCTGCTTTTCTGATAGCTGTGTGGAAGCAGAGCCCCAGCTTCTAGGCTCTGGAGAGATGACCCATGGGTTAGGAGCACTTCCTGCTTTTCCAGAGGACCAGGGTTCGGTTCCCAGGACCCGCTTGGTGGCTCACAACTGTCTGTAATTCAAATCCAAGGGGGATCCAATGCTTCTTCTGGACATGGACAGCATTAAATAAATAAGTACTTTGAAAAAAAAAAAATTAAAATGGGAGTGCCTTGAAAAAAAAAAAAAAGGCCAGGCAGTGGCGGTGAATGCTTTTAATCCCAGTACTCATGAGGCAGAGGCAGGTGGATCTCTGTGAGTTTAAGGCCAGCCTGGTCTACAGAGCAAGTTTCAGGACAGCCAGAGCTACACAGAGAAACCCTGTCTTAGGCAAAACAAAACAAAACACAAAAGCCAAAAACAAACCAAACAAACCAGCACACCACCACCACCAAATAAATAAATAAATAAATAAATAAATAAATAAATAAATAAATAAATAAATAAATAGACACACCAAAAACAAAACCAAAAAAACTGCATTCTGCCAAGGATGAAAGTCTATCGCTGGAGACAAAGGCAACCCCTCTTCAGCCTGTAAATTGCCACTTCAAAGGGTCTGCTTAGCAGATTTTATTAACCTGCTTTATTGGCCCTGTATCATTTCCCATGTACTTGCTTCCCCCCGCACCCCACATCACCACCCTTTGGAGGCTATGGCCAGCCACATCTCTCCACAAGCGTGTGGTTCTTTGAGAAAGGGGCTGAGAGTCTGTGTTCTGAGATGCTCTGAGGCACACAGCTTCTGAGGACGTCACATGCTCAACGTGCAGTTAATGGGCTTCTTTGCTTTTCTCTTGTGCTCATTTAGTCCAGAACCCAGCTCTGAAGGGGAGAGTCAGGAATCCTTCTGTTTAGTCCTCAGGCGGAGTGACTACCTGCTTGGATTCTGTCTGCCAGGTACAAGGACAAGGAAGGGCTAAGGGCAAGACCCAAAAACTGCTAGCCATTCACCAGCACGGCTGACGTGGACCTATGGGGAAGAAGGACGTGTGGTCTCCCACCCATCTTGCTGAGGAGGCAGATGCAAAATGGGCAAGAAACCAACTACACATATGAAATTTGTGAGAAGGAAGAGGAACAGAAAGGTCGGGTCTGCCCGGGGTGCCTCAGGGAGGGAGCGGAGCCTGCCATGTTTGGGCTGAAAAAAGAATATTGCAGGAGCTGGGAACAACCAAGGACAAAGTAGCAGGAAAGGGCATGATGTGTCTGTGTGAGGAAAGGAAGGGGAAGGATAGAAGAGAAGGAAAAGACTGGATCCCCCAGGGCAGGAAAAAGGTAGCCAAGCCAGCACAGGGCCTTAGAATGAAGTCATGAGCTTATCACAAATGGAATGAGCATCCTTGGCAGGTTTAAACCAAGCAAGACTGACACATTCTGATTGATCCTTTATTCTTTTTAAGATCCCTTTTTTTTTTTTTAATTATGTATTTATGTGAGTGCCAATGTCCAAGGAGGTGAGAAGAGGGTTGGAGCCTTTGCAACTGGAGTTACAGGCACCTGAAAAGTGCTGGGAATCGAACCAGGATCCTCTGAAAGAGCAGTAAGCACCCCTAACCTCTGACCATCCAGCCCCACCCAGGTAGATTCTTGTTCAGTGCTACTCTGGTCTCTGCCTCTAAGGTGTGCTCAACTCTCCCACCTGCCTCAACCCCTCTCCACTCAAGCACGTGACATGACTCAATGCTACACCGAAAGCTAGTTTATTATTTTTTTTCTATGTTTTGCAAGGACAGAGCTGTGGGTGGACTGGACTCTGGAAAACTGATGCTAATCATGCCGGTCCTCCTCCTCAGCGCTGCGGCGGCCAAAGTCCATCCATCCATAGGCCTCTTCTTCCTCCTCCATCCATGGCCTTTGTTTCTTGAACATGTCTGAGAAGGTGACAGGAGGTGAGAATGGAGAGAATGAGGCCTAAGTCTCAAGGAACTGTGGGGACAGTATGGGGACGCCATGGCCAGATCTGCCTGGGTCAGCTGCTACTACCTGCTTTGAAGTGTTGAGGGCCCTGCGGCCCCAGCTGCCTTCGATGGTGAGAGGTTAGGCCCAGCTGGTCCAGCTGTTGTGGTTCCAGGGCCCCGTGGGTCCCCAGTCCAGAGGAGGCAGCCTGAGGTTGGGAGCGAGGCTTCCAAGAAGCTTCAGAGAAGGTAGCCAGAGCCAGCACTAAGATCAGCACGGACAGGGACAGTCGAGGCATCTCGTCTGAAAAAAGGAGAGAGCTGGGCTTCAAGATGGGCTATTGCAATAGATCTCCTCTGACCTCTACACGGGTACTGGCATTGCCACCCAAATGTGTATGTGTATGCATACATTCACACAATTTCAAAAACAAATGCAAAAAAAGAAAAAAATCCCACAATAACCAACGGGCAGTGTTTTACAGACTGTCCTGCCAGGTAAGGCTAAGTCCGGTGGCTCTCCGAGCTTAAAGAGAAATTTTAAATAGTGACAACAAAGGCACATGCACACTAAAGGGAGTTATAGATCATACACTGCCACGTGAAGACCACCAGCATGTCCACTGGGGGCTGGGCCACAGCATTGCTAGGCAACCTTGGAGGAGCCTCTGCTCCTCTGTGTTTAGCTGACCTGCAACTGTACTTACTCAGCTAAGAAAAAAAAAAAAAAAAATTAAGCCCAGCATTTGCAGCTAAGCAGGAGGGTGAATCAAGTTTGGAGAAATCACAGCATGGACCTGAAGCCTGAGCAAACATCAAGTTCCAAACCTCTCTTGTTCTTTGGACTTGATATATATATATATGTGTGTGTGTGTGTGTGTGTGTGTGTGTGTGTGTGTGTATACACACACATACATATTTAACTTTCCACCCTAAGACAAAAAAAAATGTATTAAAATATATTAGCTTTTCATGACAAAGTTCTCAGATTAGGTTTTCTGTGGGAGAAAAAAATATTTGTGGCTGATAAAGAAATATTGAAAGATCAGAGCTGGATGTTCCGGCTCCTTTTTATATCTCCTGTTTATAACTTGGGAGGCCAAGGCAGAAGGATTGCTTCAATTTTAACGCTCTGTAAGTGATAGGCAAATCTGGGCTAGAGTGATATGCTACCAAATAGAAAGAAAGAACGGATGAAAAGGAAAAAAAAATCAGTACTAGAGAGCCACTTCTGTTGGATATGAAACACAGTTTGACAAGTATGGCAGTCACTAGCTACTTGTGGCTCTTTAAGTGTAAACGAATTGCTATAAATTTTTTCTGCCTCGGAACTGGCCAGATGATAAGTACCCGTGTGGCTGGCCGGTGGGCACTGTATAAGGGAGTGCTCTTTTAGGTAGCACTGGCCTAGGAAAGGGCTTGAGATGGATCCGGGAGCTGCGGGTTCCAGTCTCAGCCCTGCCTATTCAATTCTATGCCTCTGGGCTAATAACATTCAGCCTCTGAGCCTCAGTTTTCTCATCTTAGCAATGGGAGGGAAAGCCCTGGCTTGCTCCCCTCCCTGGCTGGCAGGAGCTCCAGGATCAGGGCTGGGCCCTGAGTGAAGCAGAGAGGCAGGTGGGAATCAAGGACAGGCAGGGTGGCCTTAGAGTTGAGTCCACCCTAAGGCTAAGAGGAGGACCCCCTCTCTGGAGACACCAATACCTGGAGCCTTTTGAGGAAGGGGGTCTGCCTGCTCTCATACCTGCCATCCCTTCCCTTCCCAGTTTCTCACCTGCAGAGCTGGTGGGGTGGGTAGCTGTTGAGGCGGCTGGTCAGGTCTCGTCTGCGTACTGCTCCAGGCCTGCCTTATAAAGCCCTCAAGGTCCCTCCCAGGCCCTCCTTCCAGGTGAGGCCAAACTCCCCACAGCAAGAGAAATGGGTGTGGGACATAGGTACAACCTGCTACCCTGCCCCACCCTGTCACTAGCTGTCAATCAGGATATGGGGAAAGGGAAGGGCGGAAACAGGGAGGGGGAAGACAGGAGACAGACTCTCTGGGTTCCAGAACAGCCCATTCTACTGTATCCTTTGGCTCACAGGCTTCCTAGTCCCCTTTTGGACCACATCCCATGGGGAGGGTACTGGAGGAGAGGGCAGAGGAAGAGAATGAGAACTAAATGACCTAAGACTCAGAGGTCCCCATATGTTGACGTTTGATGGACAGGTAGTGTGTGAATGTGGGGTGACTTATTGATCCCTGTCCCTTCCACTGGGCTTTGCAAACAGGATGTGTTGTAGTTATCAGGAGCAATGAGGCATGGGTTGATGGAATTGCTCTTTCTGCTGACAGTGTCATGTTGGTTGCCTTGGAGACCCTTTATGCTCCCCTTACCGTGGAAAACCCTCAGCATCTCCCGTCTCCTTTTGCCTGCTGTGTTGGCCTGGATCCGCCTAACACTCCTGTACATGGCCCCCTCCCCAGGTCTGTTGTTCAATCAGACCCCTTGTTAGACCCCTACCCAGAGCATGGTCCTTGAGGACCTTGCATTTTAAGACTCTTCCATTTTGCTTTCAGGGATAGATGGTAATTTGCCTAAAGAATTCGTACCTTTGCAACATGAAAATACATCTTAGAATGGTTAGTGAACTGGGCTGGAGAGGTGGCTCAGTGGTTAAGAGCACTGGCTGCTTTTCTAGAGAGCCAGGGTTCAATTCCCAGCACTCACATGGAAGCCCACAACTGTCTGTAACTCCAGCTCCAGGGGATCTGATACCCTCATACCAATACATATAAAATAAAATTAGAAAAAAAAAATGGTTAGTGAACAAAGGTATTTTTCAAGGATGTACCAGAAAAGAAAACGATACATTTCTTGGTTTATTTGATAAACTCCTGCCTGAATGTGGCTTGCAAGGTTTTAACAAGCTCTAGGCTGTTTTTGATTTCCACTCCCCCCCCCGAAGCTGAGCTTAGACATTTGTTCTTGTTCGTGATTCACTGTGCCCCCTTCTTGTCTCGGGGAGCTTTTATGTCCCTTGTGTCTTGTGTAAGGGCAGTGGTACCCACGCTCGCAGCCAGCCTTGCTGAGAATTAACAGGTGATGAAGGATGCAGTCTGCACTGTGTCCATGGCAACCAGTGCCCAAATGTTCTAGTGAATAACCGCTCTAACCCAGACCAGGACATGGTGACTCAGCAGATGGAATAAGTGGAAAAAAAAAAAAAAAAAGACAAAACACAGCAGGCATTGACAGTAATGAATCGAATTACAAAAATCTCAGAGATGAAAGGAATGGAGAAGGGTTAGGGGAAAGCACAGGGTGAGAACAGCTCTTCTCATGTCCTGGGGGAGAAGGAGATGCTGGTGTTGCTATGGTAACTGGAAATTACCAGCTTTCCTGAGAACTCGGTTGATTTCTGCCTGTGGGTCAGGTTATGCCCCCTTGGCTGCTCTTCCCCCAGCCAAAGGGATGACAATTATTATAAACAGTAGCTTGTTTGCTATTCAGCCAAGGTGGCTGTCATCGTGGGCACAGCAGAGCGTGTCTGACAAGGGTCCTCTTCGGAGATGAGAGGCATAGCCCTCTCCCCGAGGAACTCGTGCGGTGTGTTGTGCTCACAAAAGTCCGTGGTTCAATAAAAAGGGAAGGTTTCCCTGTCCTCTCCTTTTCTAGTCGTTGAAATGCTTTCTCGCCCAAACAGTGAGGGAAATGACTTGGGGAGGGGAGGGTGTTTCTTGGGACAGTGAAGTACACAAAACATTCTGCACAGCACTCATGGAAACGTAATGCATTTTGCACCTTTCCCCCTTTGCCTACTCTGGACCTCGGTTAGCCTTCTCCGTGAAATGGGATTCATCCCCACCTGTCTCAAAGGGCAGGGGAGGAGGAAGTCTGTGCTCACACTTAGCGCACTTGGAGGAGCAGCCTCCTCCAGCTCTTAGTGCAGAGCAATTCCCTTTGAGGTGTTCTGTCCTCCAAGACCAAGCCCCATTTAGTCGCCCTCAGAAGAGGCAGCAGGGATGAAGTCTCTGGAGACTGAGCTCCCTAAAGGCCATTCGTTACCTACCACTGTGGAGGAGGCCAGTGGTGGAAACCAACACTGACCGGCTGGGTGACCTCAGTGTTCACTTTCTGGGCCTGTGAAGTTGAAAAACCAGACCATGAGACTTAACCTCATGCCCTCCTCCATGACTTCCTGCCCCTGCCATCACATGACATGGCATGACGATGCCATGCCTGGCAGAGAAGCCCTCCTCTCTGCAGGAATGAATGCAGTTATTCTCTGCTGTGGATCCGAGGACCTGAGTGTCATTGTGACTCTGTTCCACAGATGGAGAGACTGAGGCCCATGTTGAGGATCACTCTCCAGCCCGAGTCCATGTACATAAAGAGGATCTGGGCTGGAGCTCCTCCTAGGAGGGATGGGGGGGACCAGAATGATGGTTCCCCTGAAGATGTCCTTATGCGAGCCTTAGAACTCCGCTGCAAATGATGTCGCTGAAATAAGGAACTCACTCTGATTACCTATCTGCCTGGATCCAGTTTAACCACACAATCCTACAAAGCAGACGGCTCAGAAGTCCTCAGGAGGATCCCACCTGCAGCTGCGGATATGAACAGAAGAGTCTGAAGGGCCAAAGGACTGAATTTGGAGGTTATGGAGAGAGTTAAAATGCTGCAAATAATAAACCAGCAGAGGTAAGGCACACCTTTGATGCCGGTACTTGGGAGGCAGAGGCAGGCGGATCTCTCAGTCTAGGCGACCCTGGTCTACATCGAGAACTGCATAGAGAGATTTTTTTGTCTTGGGGATGGGGGGGGGGAGGATAGTTGTAGACAAAAGCCGGATTATCTTGGGCTATTTTTGTGTATGCACTGAATCAAACCTGTGTGTGTCCTCTATGAGAGGAGTAAGTGCTCTTAACCACCCATCTCTCTGGATTAGGATTTTTTTTTTTGACCAGGCTGGCCTCAAACTCAGAGATCTGCCTGCCTCTGCCTCTGCCTCCTCAGTACTGGGACTAAAGGTAGTTGCCACCACGCCTGGCTTATATTTCTCTCTCTCTTTCTAGTAGAGTGCTTGCAAAGCATGCTCAATACCTCCAGGTTTTATCCCTAGCACCTCAGAAACAGAAAGAACCCATCCAAATCTCCAAATATTCCAAATTTATTCTCATCATGGAGCACTGGCTTAGAGTGAGGGTCCAGGTAACAAGGCCCCCTCCTGGATAAGAGGCGAATATGTTTAGTACTTCCGTTGCCTGGGTGAGTTGAGAGTCCACTGGCACAACAACAGCCATAATTTTCAGGGTACTCCATTAAGGTGACTGTTCCCTGGAGATAAGGCTCCAGTTGCAACCCTCCGAACGCCTGGCTCAACCCGAACTATTATCGATGAGCTAAAAACCGCTGTCAGAAAGGCCAGTGCCTCAGCCTCCTAATTAGTTCTTAATAACGGATGTGGGGTGTGGGTGGGGGAGACATGTTAGCGGTGACTCAGCCTTGCCAGGCTTGCCAGGGCTTGGATGGGACTAAGAGTGACACTTGTGAGGAGTTCATGTCTATGCGGCCATCTTAAGCGCCGCGTGGGAGACAGGACCACGGGGGTGGCAGCCTGAACGTGGCTCTCGGGCAGAGGTAAAGATGCTCACCTTCTTTCCCACCCCCGAAGGCTCAGCGGCATACAGAGAGGGCGTCGACTCCCCCATCACTTCCTTAGCCCCTCCTGGCTTCTCACCCAACATCCACCCGAGTCTCTTAGATGTGCTTCTCAGGCAAAGCGTCACATTTTTATTGCTTGGGGAATCCTCAAACCAGATCCTAGGGGTGAGGCCTGACTTAGGCTCAGGGATCTCTATGCAGGACGAGCATCTGTGTGAGGGAAGGGACCGAGCGAAAAGACGTTTTGGAACTCCAGGCTCACATTCTGGGTCTTAGTTTCCCTATCTGTGAATCAAGGTTGACCTTGACATCCTTGATTATCCAAATCTGAGAATGCTGAAGTGCCTTATGTTAAACGGAGCAGCTTTTTGCCTTTACCCTGAACACATCCTGACATGTGCCTTATTTTTCTTTTATTAATTTTTTTTAATTACTAAAAAAACATATTTTTACTATATTTAAAAAAATTATTTAATTTTATTACATGTGCATCACTATGAAGGTGTCAGATCCCTTGGAACTGGGGTTACAGACAGTTGTGAGCTGCCATGTGGGTGCTGGGAATTGAACCCAGATCCTGTGGAAAAGCAGACAGTGCTCTTAACCATTGAGCCATCTCTCCAGCCCTCTTTTTACTACATTTTTGTAATTTGTTTTTGTTTGCATGTGTGTGGCCATGCATGCCCACAGTAAGTCCGGTGGAGGTCAAAGGACAACTTGCAGGCGTCACCTTTCTCCTTTCACCTTGTAGGACCTGGATTGCATTCAGGTCAACAGTGTCTTTAGCTCGTGAGCCATCTTACCAAGCCTTTAGAAATTACCTATTTATTTTTATGTGTACGGGTGTTTTGCCTGCATTGTAGAGCCATATTTCATGCATGCAGTACCTGAGGATGCCAGAAGAGGGCGAAGGATTCCACCGGAACTGTAAATGCAGATGATTGTTAGCTGCCACGTGGGTGCAGGGAACCAAACCTGGGCTGTCTGAAAAGCACCCACATTCTTAACTGCTGAGCCATCTCTCTAGGCCCAGACTCTTTGTCTTGTTTTGAGACAGGGTCTCACTTTGGAACCCTGGAAGGGCATATAACCCTGGCTGTCCAGGAACCTGCTATGTAGATCATGCTGGCCTCAAACTCAGAGATCCACCTGCCTCTACCTTCTGAGTGCTGGGATTAAAGACATGCCTCACCACACCTGGCTTATGAGGCAGAGTCTTATGTAGCTCAGGCTAGTCTCAACCTCTCTACTTAGGTGAAAATAACCTTGAAGT